GTGATTTATTAGTGCACGTTGTGGGATGTTGCTCTCGTATTAACTCGTACGGCATCTCATTACATCCGATTTCGATAAGCACTCGCTGTTCACAGTGCTCAGGTCATACGGAAGCTCGGCAGTTTCGATTTCATCGCGGTCAGTACAGCATGTTTGGTGGGCGTGAATATCCTCCCCAGACGCGCAACGAGTCCGTCGGACCGGGTGGACCGTTCAGACTGGTTGGTGTGCTGCCAGCAGGCTCCAGTGGCGAACGCCACACGTTAAGTGAAGCAGTGGTGCTTACAGCCTCGACCATCTCCTCATGCCTGAAATCAGATACAGACAAAAGGCTAACATAGTAATGTTGGCCTTATTCCACGTAGAATAGTCAGGATATGAGAGGGAAAAGGAACCGGAGGAAAAAAAGAAAAAGGAAATGTTCTTACATCAAGTGGAAATTGATCAACCTTCGGCGATCCAGCTTCGCTTTCGATGCGCAGCGATCACTGATCACTAGTCCCGGGCACTCATTGCATTTTGCAGCGTATGCTTGGGACTGCCTTCAAAGGTGACACTTTCACTGCAGTGGATAACCTCTCCGTGGATTTATACGCTCATTCCCGACGCAAAAATGGCATCAACTGGACATTTCATTCTCATTACAGATAAGATAAGTAGGACATAGCTCTCCAGGGTGTTAAAAATAGTTAAGTTCTCTGCATTGAACATATATTAGCGATCACGCTACTAAAGATACAACACATAAAAACTTGGTGTCGGCACATGACCCAGAACCAGCATACCGATTCATGTACCTACGCGCTAGAGTTGGCAAGGTTTGTTTGGCAGAGCTGCCGTTTGCTGGCATTGCGCAAAATCCGGCATTGTCACTTTAGACACCCCCAAGACATTGAGAATGAGGCAAATGAAACTTTTTAAGTTAACAAACCATTATTGTGTAAATGGTAGCGTTGGTTCTTGCCAAAATTTTACACGTGTATCCGTCTCTGGCAGTACCCAGCTTGGTGACCGGTGCATCATATGCAGAGTTGGTTCAAATGCACGTGTTCATTGCAGCTTCGATGGAAAACGAGTATTCGGCACGGGCGAAGCCACGGATTTTGATTTGGGGTGACTTTGAAGGGGGCATCCTCGACAAATTAGGGCCATTTCACAGGGGGCACACTTCGTCAGTGCCATATTCAAGGAAAGGATTGTCAAAAACATGTACCCCTTTATCCAACTGCTACATGCATCATATCCGACTAAGAAATGTCGACAACAACACACAAACAAACAGAATGAAAGCCCTTTAATAATTCACTTAAGGGTGTCAGGAACCAAAATTCCCATTCACGAAGGAGCCTCTAAGTCTTGCCAAGGCACGTGGTTCTCGCAAAACAGGACACCCTCATTGAGAACCGCACTCATCTGATGCGCGAGAGGGACTTCCTGTTCTAGAAACAGGACCTTCGAAATATAGAGAATGCCTTCTAATTAAGAAAAGGGCCTCCTTATTCCAAAACAGAGGCCTCTAGAGGCAGCAAAGAGGCCTCAGTAGCACATCATTTGGACCTTATAATCTAGAGTATGGGCTACTTTGTTCATGAAGGTGGCCTCGTGATGCAGAAAACGAGTTGTAGAAAAGGTCTTCCGAGCCCGATTTGTTGTTGTTTAGCTCAGTTATAGGGGCCTCTCTGATCTAAGCTGTGGTAATATATGGGTGGTTGCTGTGTCTTTAGTTTGGGAAAAAGGGCTTCCTTTTTGGGAGGGGAAGCAAACATACCCTTGTTTCCCCTGCCCGCCGGCAGCGAGGAACTGCCCTCCGCCGTAGTTTTACCCAATGCAATCCCCCATGGATTCTGAACGGATGCATTCCTCTGAAAAACTTGCGATTTGTGGTGCCAGGTTTCTCTCAACGCTAACCTGCATTTATCCCTGGGCAGCTTTAGGTTTCTGAAGCTTTGTCGGCATGCAGTGAATTGGTAGGAAGAATCACAAATTCTGGCGCTCTAGCTGAAACGGCTTGACTATGATCTGTCATGAGCAGAGGATGACCGAATCTGCACACATACAAAACTAGGGCTACCCTGTGCCTGTGGTGAGTGTTTCAGCTTGGTGAAACACTTCACCGAACCTTGACTCCAGGGCGCATACGCTCGAGACTGCCTCGTTAGGCTCGGTGTTCGCACTACAGTCTGCTCGCGGCTGTCACGCTCGTTACATGCCATAAATCAACTCGTTACATGACAGTTGCCCGCGCCGTGAAAAAAAAATAGACGACTTGGTGTGATCCCGAATGCAAAGCAACATCTCGACCCCATGTCCAGGGGCGGATCCAGAGGGGGGCCACGGGGACATGCCCCCCCCCCCCACTCTTGGGCCCCGAAGGGGCCCATTGGCTCCGAGGGGCCCGTAGCCGGCCGAACAAGTGCAGTTTTTTTAACACAAGACGCAACAAAACTAGATATCTCTGGACTTCCACGCGACCAAGAACAGTTATAAGCGAAAGTCAAGGCCTATGAGAAGTGAAAAATTATTCAATGGCTGGAAAATTGTGAACAGGAAATTTTAAGCCTCATCACACTGTCTAGGCGCCCCACTCTGTTTCCGGGGGACCTATTTACACACTTGCAAGATCATTACGATCGTTAAGGAGTATTCCACGTTACCCTCCATTTCTTAGCATGTGTTCGGAGAGCTCTGCGCTGTCGTTGGGGCCCTTCCTATTAGCATGCCGGGGCACTCTTGTCAGTCACGGGCCCTTCGACGGATTATTTCCATTCGCTAGAAAGGCTCTGTGAGATTTAGCCGGAGTCCCATATCTTAACCTGTCGGGGTATCCCCGGCTGCTTAGGGGCCCTTTACGTGGGGCTTGGTTAACCTACCGAGACACTTGCGATATGCTCATAGGCCCATAGGTCTCATTTGCGGAGGACTCTTCACTCCTATGAAGGGTGGTGTTGTTAACCTGCCTGTGCACTCCTGATCACACAGGAGTATTCATTCATGGTCTTTGATAATTCCCCTTGCTCGGAGGATCCTGTACTATGACTGGGGCCTTATATGTCAGCCTGCCGGGGTACTACCGATCGTTTAGGGGCCCACCACGTTAGTCTTGAATTCTTTTGCTTGGTCTGGGGGCCCTATTCTTGTTGACGAGAGCCTCTTTATTGGCATCCTGCGGCACCCATGATCGCTCAGGTTCCGTCCCTATTGGGCTTGGTGCCCTCGCCTGAGAGCAGCAGTCGTACATGCGCCGGTGAATTTTTACGCGCAATTGCCAAACGTAATTTTACATGCCGCCGACGTCGTGTCATTTCCATTGGCTATTGAGTGTATAACACTTAGTATATTAGTCCATCATGCTCTTAACCTATTTTAAATGCTCGAATATGTTGAACGTTTTTATAACAAACGAAAAATTATACATTAGTCACCAGCCATCAACTGATTACATCGCTCAGCCGGCTGGCCGTAAATACATAAGCTGGGGATCAAGTCCATGCTTGGTTTTGATGGTTGTTAGCGGCCAACTCAAGTTTATGCTGCGTGTTGTTCCGCAACGCTTGGCCTCAAAATCACAGCATTTAAAATGATCTGTAGAAAATGAGTGAGCTCTATATGTATGAATGCGTAGCACGCCTATGCTTTACAGGGCTGTGCACAGAAAGGTAGATTTCCGTGTTTATTGCATAAATAAAAAAGTAAATACATACATACACAAATGTGTATACCTATATCTATGCCTATATATATATATATATATATATATATATATATATATATATATATATATATATATATATATATTGGATACCACTTGTCTTGAAATGCATCGATCGAAATGGAAGGATATTTTTTGGAGGGGCCCCGAACTCCAGGGGGCCCACAATGTTACGTGACCCCCCTTGACGAAATCCTGGATCTGCCCCTGCTCATATCACTGGCCGCTGAACCGAAAGCTTTGACCATAAATACTGTATGGTCAGGTATTCACAATCATCGTGACGGTTATTCACCAAAAACGTATTCGAATTTGCGTAATATCATTGCCACAACAGAATCTTGTCGCTATTTCATGACTTCCGTCAGCTGCTATGCCAAGGGAAACCACAAGCCAAGGAACTCGCAGCCAACCAACTTGCATGCCGTCTCATTTGGGCACATCCGCGTAAATGCTGCACCGGTGGAGATTCGCTTGTTACATTTCCATGACAGGGGACTTCCTAATGCATTGAAGAAAACCATTGTCACGAGTTGCCAAATATGTCATTCAGCTTAGTTCTGTCACCTTGTAAGGGATATCAATTGTTGGCTCGGTTATCTCTGTCTTCGCCCCGCGCCGCACATGGCATCTTACTGGTTGGGCCGCACCGTTGTCTGTGATCATCAACAAACGGTCATGATGCATAAATAACGTATATTTACACCCGACACTAAATAGCACGTCTTGTGAGCACTACATCATTTATGTTTCCAATGTTCATTATGTACACTTTAAATACAGCCTCGTGTGGAAGCCAGTTTGGCTTCTATGACAGTTCAGCCCTCTTAGTACTCAGGCTTATACGCAGGAGCAGGAGCATACGACGGAGCCGGCTTGTACGCGGGCTTGTAGGCGGGGGCCGGAGCGTAGGCGGGCTTGTAGGCGGACGCGGGCTTGTAGGCGGGCGCAGGCTTGTAGGCGGGGGCCGGATGGTACTCGGGGAACTGGGCCTCGCCTTCGTAGGTCACTTCAGCGTTGTTGCCGTAGTCGTTGGCGACGTACTTGACGTGCTGGACGCGGCCGTCGGGCAGGTTGACAGAGTAGTAGCCTTCAACGTTACCGTAGTCGTCGGCGTGCTCGTTCTGCGAGAAGACGGCGCCGTTGTAGTGGTCGTTGACGGCGTAGTCGAACTGGTAAGGGCGGGGCTCAGAGTAGTCCTCCTGGTGGCCGTATCCCTTGGCGGGCTTGTAGGCGGGCTCATGGTAGGCCGGGGCCGGCTTGTAGGCGGGCTTGTAGGCGGGAGCCGGCGCATAAGACGGGGCGGGCTTGTAGGCGGGAGCCGGCGCATAAGACGGGGCGGGCTTGTAGGCGGGCTTGTAGGCAGGGGCGGGGGCCGGCTTGTAAGCGGGGGCTGGGGCGTAAGAAGGGGCCGGCTTGTAGGCAGGCTTGTAGGCGGGAGCCGGGGCATAGGTCGGAGCGGGCTTGTAAGCGGGCTTGTAGGCGGGAGCCGGGGCGTAGGTCGGAGCGGGCTTGTAGGCGGGCTTGTAGGCAGGGGCCGGGGCGTACGTCGGAGCGGGCTTGTAAGCGGGCTTGTAGCTCGGAGCCGGAGCGTAGGAAGGAGCCGGTTTGTAGGCCGGGGCCGGGGCCTTGTAAGCCGGAGCTCCGTAGGCGGGCTCGGGGCCCTTATAGGCCGTCTCAGCGGCGGCTACAGCCAGCAGGGCGGCGACGATGTAGGCCTGGAAACATTCGCCTATCATCAGAATTGTGTACCAGACATTCACCTTCAGTTACCCACCGTGTCGCCACAAATGCTGCAAATTGTGAGAGAGCAGCTGGCACGATTCCTTTGCAACTCTCAAAATACCTCAAGTGATGCCCTTGAGACGCAGCGCTCAGCAAGCAACAAACCTACTGAGCCAATTCCATCGGCAAGTGCACTGAAACCTGGACACGTCGCCAGTTTGCCAAACCCCATACAAGCCGACCGAATTGCATACATTGGCACGGGGTCATTGCATGCATGTATGAGATACCTGTCAAGTGTAAATGCTTGCCAGTCATGCCAATTCTCAGACCACACTTATGAACAGTTTGCTGTGTGCTGCGCCATGCCAACGCTCGCAGAGCTCGAAGCACGAATGACGGGCGGAGCAGGCGCTGCGGCCTGCGGCGCTCGGCTCCCGGCCACCCCCGTCGACTTCGGCCGTATGCCCTGCACATGACCAGCGGCCAGCCTGGACTCACCTTCATGGTGTGACTTGGTGGACCGAGTCTGAGCGAGTGCTGCCCTGCCCCGGCGCCCGGTGCGTTTTATAGTGATAGCTCCTGTGGGGAAGGTCGTCGCTTTTCAAGGGCGGTGCGCACAGTTAGCCCAGTTCTCCATCTCCCGCTCGCCGCCGGCCGTCATTGTTTTGCCAGGGCGGTGTGCCCTGCCGTGTCGGCGTGTCCGGCTGGCTGGGTCAGGCCAGGCCAGTATTGCTGACCCTGCCGTGTCGGCGTGTCCGGCTGGCTGGGTCAGGCCTGGTCAGTACCGCTGACCCTGCCGTGTCGGCGTGTTCGGCTGGCTAGGTCAGGTCAGGTCAGTACCGTTGACCCTGCCGTGTCTGCGTGTTCGGCTGGCTGGGTCAGGCCAGGTCAGTACCTCTGACCCTGCCGTGTCGGCGTGTCGGACTGGCTGGGTCAGGCCAGGTCAGTACCGCTGACCCTGCCGTGTCGGCGTGTCGGGCTGGCTGGGTCAGGCCAGGTCAGTACCGCTGATCCTGCCGTGTCGGCGTGTCGGGCTGGCTGGGTCAGGCCAGGCCAGTACTGCTGACCCTGCCGTGTCGGCGTGTCGGGCTGGCTGGGTCAGGCCAGGTCAGTACCGCTGACCCTGCCGTGTCGGCGTGTTCGGCTGGCTGGGTCAGGCCAGGTCAGCACCTCTGACCCTGCTGTGTCGGCGTGTCGGACTGGCTGGGTCAGGCCAGGTCAGTACCTCTGACCCTGCCGTGTCTGCGTGTTCGGCCGGCTGGGTCAGGCCAGGTCAGTACCGCTGACCCTGCCGTGTCGGCGTGTCGGACTGGCTGGGTCAGGCCAGGTCAGTACCGCTGACCCTGCCGTGTCGGCGTGTCGGACTGGCTGGGTCAGACCAGGTCAGTACCTCTGACCCCTGCAGCACTGCCAGGCGCAGGTGCCGTCCGTGCCAGTGCAGACCGCAGGGCCCTTGAAACAGTCCAGGTTGCCCGCTGCGACCTCTGTAGTGGCCACGCATATCTATCTCACACCCCACGCGGCTGGAAGCTATCCTTCATTGGAGACGGATCACGTCATAGATATTATCTCCAGTAATTGCAGTTTTGAGGCCTCAGAAAGACACAACAGAATTTGTCATTTTTTCAAGCAGCCTCAGGTCTTGTGTTAAGTCGAACGTTGCATGGCCCAATCAATGCCTCACAGCGGTACTCTGATAACATATGTCGTGATATCTGGGATGGTGGTGCAACATAGCCTATCTGGCTCAACAATATCTTGGGTGCGCTCCTCTGCAGCACGTTCCTCGCCATACAATGGGTGAGCGCAACTCTCCCCGCTCCCCGCGTAGCAAGCTCCATCCCCGGAAGCGGGCCCATGGTTTGACAGTTAATATTACCTAGTGGAAAAGTATGACATGCTGCAATAGTTTATCTTAATTTCAGCCCCAACCGGGCCACCACCTGAGCCCCAACTGAGCCACCACCTGAGCCCCAACCGGGCCACCACCTGAGCCCCAACCGGGCCACCACCTGAGCCCCAACTGAGCCACCACCTGAGCCCCAAATGAGCCAGTACCTGTGCTCAGCAGTGATCATCCACTCACAAGCAGCGCCCAAGAATTGCGTAATTCAAGGATCTCTACAGACTAAGAGCGAACCTGTATTGGAACGCGTCTGTTCATATTTCCATTCACATAGATTATCATTTCGAGTTATTGTGCTGTTATGTAAATGGGAGTTACAGATTAAATCACCATCGCTCATTCGAATCAAAACTATATTAATTTTGCACATGCGTCGGTCACACAAGTGCGAAGGTGGCGCGTTGACTGGACGGTGGTCACGACTTCTACCCACGACGGCTGTCTTTTTATAAAAAAAGGATAAACATGAAATATTAAAACGTAATTGTGTTGCTAATAACACGTTTCCGATTAGTTTATCTGATGTGACATCAGCGTTGGCGTGTCTATTCAACATCACAGACAGCATGACAATGCCCGTAAACCGCTCGCTTATGAGATGAAAGGTCATGAGAACAGATAACTTACGCTTCAATGAATAATGGAGCAGTCGTAATGAGCACTGAAGTAATGACATCAGCAGTGATAACATGTTTTCCATATGTCTCCGCCGTCTCATTACGCATGCTTAACTGCGCGCTGCCCTGCTGGGTATCCGGCGGTCAGACGTTGAAGCCCCGGACAGGGTGGAGTTTGTCGCAACAAGTGGCGGAAGAGCACCCCGTGTGGGGCTTATAGTGGTGGGTATTCTTCACTAATGATAGCATCATATGTACATGGCGCATGACGCAAGGATAAAATGTCCGGGTGCAGGCCAATCCAAAGCTTTTAGGCATTTGGATTTGCGGACAACCAGCACCACAAAGTCCTCCATTTTGGTTTATTTCTGTATCGTGGTGCACGCCGAAACGGGAACTATATGTCGCAAGTTTCCTTTCCTTTCAGAAAAGATCCACAGATCGCCGAGATTCGCTCATCAAAAGATCCACAGAGCGCCGAGATTCGCTCATCAAAAGATCCACAGAGCGCCGAGATTCGCCCATCAAAAGATCCACAGAGCGCCGAGATTCGCTCATCAAAACGTGAATACAACATAACAAAGTCACTAAACTGAATGGAATGTCCACGTGATGCTATGTAATGCGGGACTATGGAAAAGCGAAGGAAGCTTTCAAAACACTCTGCTAGTGACTGAAATCAGAATTGCTTGCAGAAGATTAACGACTTATGCCCCCCCCCCCCCCCTCTCCCCCGATGAAGATCACAAAATTGCCCTTAAGCTTTCTGGTGAGTTATGTCCCTACCGATGACAATAAAACATCTTAACAATTCATGGCCTTCGTCTCTGAAGGTAGTGGACCACTTGGATATGCTTTGGGTGCACGGCTACCCACGCGTGGGAAAAAGGAAAGGCTGAAACGACGGAAGCCTTCGCGTAAACGCTGCACCTGACGTCACTGGTATGGTAACCGGCATGTCGCCTGCCATTTGAGCGTGCATGAATTCCAATTTGTGATGACGGACGTTAAGTGTTTCTCGGACCCAATACTGATCTCGGCGCTCTGATTTACCCGAACTGCACGCCATACTTCTTTAAGAGCAGCCCCTTGGTACTTTGCATGCTATAGATTATGATGGGTCGTCGTGCAACTCCAGACAAGCTTAATGCTCTCCTGACACTGGATTTTTACATTTTTGGGTTGTACTCTAAGTCATTTGGTCCATTAAAATGCATGTTTGGCGATCAATGAAACTAACACTCAATATATCTATGTGTCGCCATCTTCATGTTCGGGTTTTGCGTTTATTTACGTTTATTGTGGACTTAGCCTTAAGTGGCAGCTTAACGGCCACTAAGTTTCTCGGCGTTGTTGGATTCACATGAGTGGTCAACGATCCTGACCGCCCTGACAGGGGCGGGTCCAGCCTGGAGTTGCTTTTTTTTGGGGGGGGGGGGGGCAACCGTTCGTCGCCAGCTGGCTGGTGTGGGATCCGAGGTCCAGTGCATGGTGTCTCTCGCGAGTACGTAGTAGGGACACCATTCAATCACCGAAATGCTGTTGAATATTCTATATACATTATGCATGTTTGCAAAGCTCGTAACATGATACATTACTTTCAAGAGTCAACTGGTCGGATGGGGTTTATGAAACGGAAAGAAATGCTTGATAACGCACCATCAAAGTTTAAACAGACGGTAAGTAGACGAAAATTTTATGAAGTTCTGGGAATGTTTTTTGGGGGGGGGCAAAACATGCTCTCAGAGTTTTTTGGCGGAGCTATGGCCTCGTGCCCCCCCCCCCCCCCCCCAGGATCCGCCTATGTGCCCTGACCGCTTTTGCCTTTAATCGTCTTGGGAGAGCCCTCGAAACTGTAGAACACCGTTTCAGTCTTCCAGAGCCCTCGACACTGTTTATAAGGCTCGGAGTTATGCCACTGTCTCATTCTGAAACTTCTGTTCCTCTGTACTGAAACCCTTTTGAATGCTTCCGGGTTCTCCGACCGTTTCGGACATCCCTAACCACATCGAAAGTCCTATAGATTCTTGGGTAACCTGTCAGTGTTGAAAGCCTCCTCCTCACTGACGAAACCTCCCAGAGTGCCCAGCGCGGGGCCGGGGATCGAGATGGAGGAGGTCCGCGGTAACGGCCGCCAATAATCCCGACATGTCGCGGTCGGTAGGGACGTGAAGTGCCAATGTAAGGTGACTCGCTAATCGCTGACTGTGCCACAGCGGTGACCCCGTTGTGGACGAGGCTTCCCCAGACCGCTTCTCGCCTGTGCTGGCAAGAGGCGAGGGACCGAGAAGAAGGGCCGGCTGAAGACCTCCTGCATCTCACCTTGGGACTTCACGGGCTGTGCAAACCCATGACAACCCATTTGGAATGAATCACAGGCTGGATTGTGTGCAGGATTTGTGAACATTACGGGTGGGTACGGGTATGGGTAAAAATTTTACGAAATGTCAGATAGTTGCTGTAGCAAACACGCAAAATGTTACAGAATGCGCTTCTTGTATCCGTAATTAGCTCTTGTCACACTACGTTTCCAATCATGGACGTAAAAGAGTAAGTTAGGGTGCAAACTTCTCTGGAAACCTTCCATAATTTACAATTAAAGAGCTGGAAACATGCATATGGGTGGGCAACTGATGGGTACAGTACAGCTGATTAAGAAGGGGGGGGGGGTAGCGGAGGGAGGGGTATAGGCACAGCCCAATGGGTGCACTGACTAAAGTAAATTTTATGCTGAAGCCCTCGAATATCGCCCCTTCGAACGCTCTGCAACAGCCACGTCCGGTGGGCAGGCCGTCGCCGTCATCGGCCAAGCCGGCACCACGCTGGTATCTCCTGCGGCCAATCCTCCGAGAGTGGCAGCATGGCCAGCCCGGGGCCACCCCTGCGCGGGTCCTCCGAGAGACGCAGCATGGCCAGCCCGGGGCCGCTCCTGCGCGGGTCCTCTGAGAGCAGCATGGTGAGCCCAGGGCCACCCCTGCGCGGGCCCTCCGAGAGTGCCAGCA